GCATTGCAATTTGACGAGGGCAATGAGGACGAATTGGTGAGGCGTCGGCACTGGTTGTGGGTGGGACGGACGCGTTCAACGAAGGTAAACGGAAAACAGCACAGTGCATAACATGAACAGATTCTATCATTAGGCTTACTCTAATAGGATGAACTTTGAACTTACCAGTTTTACTTAGATTTATAAAAAATGACGTGAGAACTGACGACGGTATAAACCCTTCTGAATTTTTTTTTCGATATGCAGGTCGCTATATTCCAGATGGACTTTTGACATCCTGCAGCTTTGACTACCTTACAAACAACGTCAAAAACTATACACATGTGTCAGGAATGTACATTTTTGAATTTCTATTTCCTGTCGGCATAATTATATTCTGCTATATTCAAATCGTGCTGTTTGTCAAGATAAAAGCACGTAGAATGGCCACCTTCAGGCGAGCTTCCATTTCTGGCAATTTCAACAGAATGAAGTCATGTAAGTTCTCAACTGACTTCTTTTAAAGTACCCTTACAATGTTAGTTCAGTATAGTTCTGTATATGTAGGGTAGTAGGCAATGCCTTTGAAGACCCTACTGAAAACAGTATGCATACAATATCCAACATTAAACATGTTACTATAAAATAGTGAGTAACATATATACACGTACACATTTTAGCTGCAGGTATGGTCAATGTGTCCGTGAGGGCATTCAGTGGTTTCTTGTATGCATAATATATCCAACATAAAAATGTTACTATAAAATAGTGAGTAACATCTACATATGTACAAGTTTTATCGATAGGTTTGGCCAATGTGTAGATGAATACTGGTTCCTTGTTACAATGTTAGTACATATCTTCGTGAAAACTTCCTGGCAAAGATTCCTTCGCAGATGAGATCCCTGCTTCCTGCTTATAATACAGAGGAAATATATTTAGGCAATCTGCTCTTTCTGCGTATGATTGGATTTTTGGCCCTCTTGCTATCCTTGTCGCATGACGCGGCGATCTTTTGAGAAACGTGTTGTCTTTTACAAGTCATGGCCACCATGGCTGTATGCCCCTTTCTAGATGAGGTCAAAAGATAGCAACTTACGAATTACCGAAGTGATCTTATTCGAGGGCTACAAACGCTCTTTTGAGGGGATCCAGCACCCCTTTGCCGTCCCATGCAGCCTTTACTTATTGCAGTAATGGCTAAAAATTGATCTGTATCCAAATTCCATGTTCCTACTCTGAAAATTAAATGGGAATTTGAGTGTCTTTCAGGTAATATGCCCTTTTGCTGTTAGTTATGCCGTTTTTCGTTAGACGTAGGTGGAGGACGGCATAGCTTTGCAGACTAAAGCTAGGGAGTCATCTCTCGGAGTGCATTTCACGCAGCTTCCTGGTAGTTCAGACCCTTAATGACATGCTGGTGGTCACTGTCCTGGGCAAACGTGTTGTTACCGCGGTCCAGCTCTTGATGGCTGTCATTAACACAAAGTACCAAAAATAAAATACTGAAAAAGGAGCCTTGAAGCACACCGTTGGCAACGTTCACCAAGTCAACATTATCCTGACAGAGATAGGCAGCCCGCGTGCGACATGCGCTCGGTTACCGAGGATAC